TGCCCTGAGAACAGAGCCTTGGCTACCAGCATCCCCCCAAGTGAACGGGGGGTTACGGCTGGGAACGGGGGGTACCCCTGGAGAGACGTGTTTAGAATGCGAGCAGTGCTTTCTGTGTTTCTTCCTGTTTGCCGGCTGAGAGGCCGCAGTAGAGACAGCTCGCTCCGACTGCATCTGGTCTACACGGTCTGCCAGGGATGCAGCTCGCTTCGACTGCATCTGGTCTACGTGGCCTACCAGGGATGCAATTTGCCCCAACAGTCCTTCGACCAATGCCCTCATCTCAGAGGCAAAACCGGTGCCGTGCGAGGATGGATCCACAACAACAGGAGGAAAGACCTCTAGGGGCGCAGCCTCGCTGTTGCTGGTAAAGTCAGGTAACCCACTGCCTGAAAAAACAGACTGTGCAGATGCCCTCCGATCAGTGGGGAGAGACCGAAATACGTTGGTACCTCCACCATCAGGCCTTTGGCTTGGTGTCCCGGTACGAGTACTGGTAGCCGAGCGCGAGGACTTCTCACTCATGCCAATGATCTTTTCGCGAGCGAGTGACGCGGTCAGTCTCGGCAATCTTTATAAAAAGCTGGAAAGAATCCCAGGCCTCAGAACTCCAGTGATTGCAAATACTCTCCGGGCAGACGCCCGAACCCCGTACACAAGTAATATATCGGTAGCATTTAGCATGTGGGTTCCAGTCCTGTATGTTCTGTGTACAAATTTTGCAAACCCGCCTCAAAAACTGAGGGGATAATACCGGCGGCGAGCTTCTGGCGTTGCCAGTGCATCTATCCATTTCTAAATACATTGTAAATAAAAGACGACATGCATGAGGGAAACGAAATACAGTTGTAAAAGGTGCCGCCATGAAACCAACAAGTGGTGACGAAGTGCCGCCGGGTTTGATTTCTTTGTTGTGGAAAAAAATTACACACAAAGGGGAAAACGACACGAGGGTAAAAAAGACAAGAAAAACTTATCCTACCAGGTAGAATGTCGGATGCCGCGGCTGCGGAAAAGACCCACGCTTAAAACCCGGACAGGCAAAAGCAAGAGAGCCAGGAAGAGCTGCTCAGAATCATTCCTGATGAGGCAGAGATGAAAAAGAGTGATTGTACAGCCATTGATGGCGCTGCCATATAGGCTCGGTCACGTGGTTCGTGATGTAAGGGAAAGGAATCTTGGGGTCATGGGGCTTCCCCTGACCTAGATCCTATTTCTCCATCATTGGCAGAATCGCTGATGAATGCCTACAGTTCAAAATAGTCATTTTGACTGACCGGAGTCTATGGTGGATAATTGAACATAGTGAATTGTTGTGGTGATCTCTATTGATGTAAACAACACACTGATTGTGTGGCAATCTCATGT